GAATCTGGGGCCATAAAGACTACAGTGCAATGTTGGTGGGCTTCTTGCTGTCTCTTTGTTCAAAACAGCATCCTGGCTGCTAAATTAAGAACCAAGCCACATTACTCAGGTTTAGCTATGGACTAGCTAAATTCTAGATCCTAAGACCCTCAGAAATCATAAGGGATGCTTAGATACACCTTTTGGAGTACTTTACTGTGAAGTCATAATAGATGACCTACAGCTGCCGGGAGGAAGGAGAAAGAGAAAGGCTTATTCTACTATTTTCTTCCCAGTATATGACGGTGTGACTCTATCTGCTCACAAATTCCTGCAAATTTGCAGTTGGTATGAAAGGACACCCAAGACAAAGTAGGATGCAGCTATGTCCTCCCCAGAGATGTCGTCTCCACCTGTCAAAGGTGACATCTCCATCAGTGTCAGAGCCCTAAGGTTGCTGACCTCTCCATCCTGAACCCCAAGCAGGTTGTTCGCTAGGATTGATGTGCAGAGTTGGGGGGTCTGGACCTGCATGAACAGGTCATGACACTGATGTGATGCCCAACAACCATCTTACCTGGCTCAATAGTCTGTGGCAGCCACTCGTTGCTATAGCTGCTGTCATTGGTGCATTGCATGTCAAGGGCGGTCCAGACGATTTGGCCATTCACCTTCTTGCATGTGCGGGTGCCAGAGGTGGGGGGTTGCTTATCAAAACCGCTCTGGCATTTGAAATGTAATACTTGCCCCGTGTAATACCGTTTGTTCAGGCTTAAAGAGGCATGTGGAATAGTCTTGGGAGGACCACAAAAATCTGTGGGATCACAAGGCATCACACGGTTAAGCAGACAGATTTTACCTACTGCTTTTGTTCTTGAAATGACATTATTTGTATTCTTGCAAAATATAAACAAGTAGGGTATACCAAGCCTGCCCAATCCTTTATTAGGTATATATAAAGTACTTATTTGCTTACCCCATATGAGTTATTCAGCCAAGGTGTTTTAGCAATTGTTTCTTTCTCTTTGACTGTCAAAATAGTTTAAAATTACTCATCATGCTCCTTACACTTCTTCCATGGAAATCAGTGGAAAAAGTGTTACAGTAATGAATGGGCTCTTACTTACCTTTCTGGTCAGACTCTGAAAGGTTTTCTCGTCTCTGGGGTGCAGAGCTCTGTGTTTTTCCCTCTGGCTTCTGTGTAAAATCTAGCTCCATCATGGGAGCTGTTGACAACAAAATTTTCTCATCTGTGGGAGAAGTTACATTTGCTGAATTACAGCAGGATAAATAGCAGAGCAAAACCAGAGCACCCTAACCTTTAGAGGCAGGATAGAATTCTTGCAAGTTTTAATTTGCAAAGATAAACACAAAAGATCATTTGTTAGAGCAACGCCCAGATCTGTCTTATACTGACTAACTCATTGGAAAAACACATCTACAGGTGTAGAAAAAGGACAATAATCACTTACCAATGCATTCAAATTCCCTGTAGACCCAAGAAGCAACCCCCTGTATACACTGGCACCGAATTCCTGAGTACTGGCCACTTCTTCTCGCATAGCCATCATCACATTCATAATACAGTTTGGTCCCCAGTGGATACAATTCAGCAACAACATCAGCAAAGTCAATCCTTGGAAGAGCTGGGCATTCTTCTGCAAAGAGAAAGCCTTAGAATCAGGACAGCCTGTGCATCTACCTTATTCACCAAGGATTTCCCACATCTTTCTGTCTTACCAATACAAGATCATGCCCAGAGCTTAGTTAAGTATCTGGGTCTAATTCTGCCCCCAGTCACAGGGCTAAAATCACAGCTGAGGGATGAAACTGGATGTCATGAAGGGAACACTAAAGTAGCAAAGCTTTGTTTCTTTGGTTGTATCTCAGCCAAGAAGAGGCTCTGAGTTTCTGGCAAAATGATTAATTAAGTGAACTTTTTAATTTTAATTTTAGAACAATCCCACCCTCCAAAGTCTTCTTCACATTGGAGTTAGTTGTTGCCATTGATTTCATAAGTATAGATTTGTCCAGGATACAGAAAAATCCCTTGGGAGTGTCTCCACCAAGGGACATGAAACCTGTATTTGTTTACGCTTTTTTAGTTAGGAGCAGCAGATTTGTGTTTCTTCTAGAGGAGAAAGGATGCTGGAGCAAGGATGTTCCGCAGCAGCTGGGAATGGTGGTGGGAGGTACCAGGCCTATCCGCCTGCTCCTGCCCCCACTGCCCAAAGCAGGCGGTTGAGCCCTTTCTTTCTGCACCCAGCAGATGGGCAACATGAAACGCTACCAACGTTTTCTTCACGAAGCTGTACATGATCATGTCGTAGAGCTGCTGCCTGCACCAGTGAGACATGCTAAGCAAAACTAAGTCATTAAAAGTTGCAATCATCTATAAGCAAACACTGGAAATGGAAGTAGATTCTCAGTTCTGTCTAAGCACGCCAAAGAGCAACTTAACTGTGAAATAAGTTTGCAAACCTAAATATAACTTGTCCCAAAACAAGGACGTGAAGTGCTGTGTCATCAGCAAATCATATCTAAATATACTTCTCAATCAGTTGGAATGAATTAAATTGGATCATTTCAGTGCACTTGAAAAGCCCACTGAAGCTGAGCTGGAGACCCAGAAGTTGGTAAAGGCACTATTTAATGATTTTTTAAGGCCTAAATGCTGAGAAATTCAAACACAAAACAGACTGGTTGCATCAGGGCTGGCATTTGGGATCTTCGGGTCCACAATCTGTGGCCCTTTATGCTTATGCATAATAACAGTGATTATGAGTAAAATTTCTTTGTCATCGTGTCTTTGCTTTTTCTGCAGCCATTAATTAATGCAGCCTTAGCAACCAGCAAGAATGACTGCGAAAGGGCCTTGAATCCCTGATAGTTGTTGATCATTTGGTGTCTGCCCTTGACTTCCAAAGTGCCTTCTCCTTGAAACAAAGCCATGCCTTGCCAACAGCAACCCAACCAGCAACTCCCAGACCCAGTCCTGCAATGCCCTTTTCTTTCAGAGCCACCCATCATTTTCTCGATTTGATATTTTCTGCCCTTTTTACTTTTCATTATCTTGCCACTTAGTAAAAGTCACAAAGTTTGAGGAAGGCAACAGTGAAAAGTATTGTGAGTGGCTTAGCAGCTAAACTGTGTGAGGGATATTTTAATCCCCTTGCATCTTTGTGTTATCAAAGGACCCACGTTGTAACCTACATCAGACTGTGGCTTCGAGAGAAGCAACTGTACCTGAAATAGTTAACCACATGGTTTACCACAGACTGTCAGGGTGATTAAAATTAAAGAGTTATCAGATTAGCAGCAAGTTGAGATCATGTACTCTCACTTTTCCTGAAAGCTAAAAGCATGTTTCCCTTAAGACTTCAAAAGTCTCTTTGAAGCAGACTGCAGATCTGAATCTCAGCATGAGGCACTCAACCCTACAACTCTTTAGTCTCTTCTTAAGAAAAACCACAGCATTTAGCCTACTCATCATAAAGGGCAACCGTTGTATTAATCAATGGTCAAATGAAGTTCGGGTTCCTCTGAACTTGCACGTGCCAGATAAGGATTGTGCAGAAATGGTGCACATGGGTGACAGCGAGCAATACCCATCAGGCTGGCACACTTGAATCGACTCATCCACATTGCAGCTAGATCTCACGCAACACTCCAAGGATCCAGCTTTTTCATTTCATCCACATCACTCAAATTCTTGTCTTCCCACATCAAAACCAGTGCAATATCTACTTATTTGGCCTTTACAACCATATTCCTGTCTCTGATCCAGAAAACATTTGGAACGATGAATTTCCTAGGTCTCATTGTGACCTTGTTTGCTTCCCTCTGTTGACTTCTAACTGCTTCACTGTCACATCAAATATTTTGCTCCCATTTTCAAGAACCTTCCCCTTATCAACCTTCATAACCTGTCAAAACATTGACTTCTCTTCCCATGCTAGACCTCCTCACCAACATGTTTGATATCAAAGTCATCAGCTTTTTATTGTACCAGTCCTCACACTGGGAGGAGCTGTGCATGAATTCACTTTGGTCATAACTACCCCATGCAA